AATATTTTCCTAAGGTTTTCATTTGCCTTTTGATTTTTTGATTTTTAAATTTGCCATGAGGAAAATTTTATTTTTTGCTTAGTCAAATTCATTACTTTTTTTTTTTTTCCCATAGCTTCTGGATTTTGTGTCTTACTTACAGAGGCTATCCCCACTTGAGATTTTAGCTAAAAATAATTATTTGTTTACTTCTAGTGCATTTATGGTTTCATTTTTTTACATGTAAATATTTATAGAGTTTATTTTGGTTCAAGGTATGAGTAGGGATCTGATTAATTTTCTACTTCAAGTCTTTTTAGTGGCTCCAACATCATTACTGAGTAGTCCACTTCTCTCCAGTAATTTGATATGCTACCTTAATTGTATGTATTTGGGTCTGTTTCTAGACATTGTGAGCCTCATTGCATTCCTGAAATAAACATCTCTTGATCATAAATTGTAATAAATATTACATATATCATAAATATATATATGTATAAAATGTGGTGCTCAGTTCTATTTGCTGATATTTTTCTTAGGAGTTTTGCTTCAATATTCCTAAGTGAGATTAGCCTCTAGTTTTCTTTCGAGTATGTGCACGCAGTGTTTTTTTGGTTTGTGAAACAATGATATATTCACTTCTTTAAAAGACTATGGAAGTTTTCCTCTTTACTTCTCTAAAGCAGTTTGAGTAGCATTAAAATGATCTAGTCTGTGAAGACCTACAAAACCTTCTGGGCCTAGTGCTTTTGGGGATTAGCTCCTTAATAACTGTATTTCCTCTATGGAAATTGATCTTTTAAACTTTCTATCTCTACAAGGTAAACTCTGGTAAGTTGCATTTTCTAGAAAATTATCCATTTCATCTAGGTTTTCAAATGTATTTGCACAGAATTGTTCAACTTAGATTCCCGGTATCTTAGAATAACCACTGATTCAATAGTTCATCTCCAGTCATCATGTTTCAGTTTGTATTTGTGCTTTCTCTCTTTTGTAATGATTAGATATGTTTTGTTAATTTTTTTTCAAAGAAAGATCTTTTTATTAGTTCTTCAGTTTGGTTTTTTAAAATCAATTATTTGTGCTTTTATCTTTGCTATTTCCTTCTCTCAACTTTCATTAGTTTTCCTTTTTGTTCCTTTTCTAAGTTTTGAGACAGATATTTAATTCGTTTATTGTTACACTTTCAATTCTTATAAATATTTAATCATGCACTCTCTTTTTAATCTTTGCTTTAATTTTATCTCAGAGACTTGCTATATAGTGTTTTCATAATCATCATTTTTAAAAGAAATTATTCAATTTCAATTTATATTTCCCCTTTGACTAGAGAATTTTTTTAATACTTTAAAATTTCCAGATGGAGAAGACCTCATGCCTTTTGATTTTATTTATTTTCAGTCTTCCTGTATTGTGTTAAGACAATGTTGTTGGTTTGCATTATTTTTACTTAAAAAAACTTATCGAAGTTTCCTTAGTGACCTCACATATGGTTAGTTTACATGAATGTTCCATGTGTATTTGGAAAGAGGAAATAATCTCTTTAGTAAGGGTGAAGAGTATGAATAAGATCTACCTTGGGATTCTGTTGTTTAGATTTGCTATATTCTTATTTATTTAATTAGCCCATTTGCTCTGTCTTGAGTGAAGAGTAGATCTTACAATTCTCCTCTAAATGTATCTCCATGTATTTCTCTTCTATATGCTCTATGAAGTTTGCTGCTACGTTATCTGATCATAGTTATTAATAACTTTTATATCTCCTCTGTGAATTATGGCCTTTATTATCATAAAGAGTCCTTTGTCTCATTAAGTCCTATTTCCTTCACAAATTTCATCTTGTCAGATATCAAGTTCACAATCTCTGATTTTTTTTCTTTGAGTATCTCTTACAGTATAGAGTTGAATTTTGCCTTGTAAGACAATCTTAAATTCTTTTCTCATAAGTTAGTTAAGACCATTTACATTTATTTTTGCAACTTAAATGCTAGATCTTAGCTCTGTCCTATTATTTTATATTTACTATATGTTTTTCATTCTCTGGTCTGTTTTCTTTGCTTCTTAGTTAAAAAAATGTTGGTGATTAGAATTATTTGTGGGTTTTGTTTTAGTAATTATCTTTTCACTAATATCTTTATATAATGCCTGCTTTCTTTTTTTAGGCCTCTACTACCTCATTTGTCTGCTTTAAATGATATCTTTGACTCTGACCCATAACCCATGTGAAACCAAAATGAACTTGTTCTAGTTTCTCATTTCTATTCATCTTTTCCTCTCATTAAAAAAGAAATGGTGTTATATCTACTTTCTTAGAGCACATCACATCTATGTACTAGTCTTCCGTCTTGTCCTCACTTTTGGTTGGTCTAACCTCTATAGTTAAATATAGTCAGTGCTTACCACGAGGCTTTTAAACAGTTTCCTCATTCATCTCTTAGTTGGACGAAGGTGGTCTTCTGATAGATTCCTCAGGAAGGACTCATTGGTACAATACTCCCTGAATTCTTGTCTAAAATTGTTTTTCTATAAACAAGCACATGATAAGATGTTCAACATCACGAGTCATTAGGGAAATACAAATCAAAACCATAATGAGATATCGCCTCACACTCACAAGAATGACTATTAAAAATTTAATATTTGAAATCCTTGCAAGTTTTGCAAAGTTGTGGAGAAATTGGAAACCTTGAATATTGCCAGTGGAAATGTAAGATGGTTCAATTGTTGTGAAAAACAGTTTGTCAGCTCCTCAAAAAGTTACATAGAATTGTCACATGACCCAGCAATTGCACTTCTGCTATATATATACCCCCAAAGAGTTGACAACAGGTACTCAAACATTTGTATCAAAATGTTCATAGCAACAATGTTCACATTAACCAAAAGGGAGAAACAACACAAATGTCCATCAATGGATAAATGGACAAACAAATCATGGTTATTCATACAATGGAATATTATTTAGCCACAAAAAGGACTGAAACACTGATACATACTACAAAATGGATGGACCTCAAAAACACTATGCTAAATGAAAAAACCCAGACACAAAAGGTCACATATTGTATGATTTCATTTATATGAAACATCCCAAATAGGTAAATCCATAGAAACAGAGAGCAGATTAGCAGTTGTCAAGGGCTGGGGAGAGGGTAATAGGTTATAAATGCTTAATGTATTCAGGGTTTTGTTTTGGAGTGATGGAAGTGTTTTGAAACTAGGAAGAGGTCATGGTTGTCCAGCATTTTCAATGTACTAAATGCCACTGAATTGTTCACTTTAAAATAGTTAATTTTATGTTATGTGAATTTCACCACAATAAAAACTGGTTTGCTATATAACCTTCATATTTGAAGGATAGTTGAGTTGGGAAAAAAAAAACCATGGTTCACACTTTGAGTTTTTTGATGAGTATTTCACTACTGTCCTGCTTTGTAAGTTGCTCCTGAGAAATCTAATGTCAACTCTATTTTGTTTTCTTTATAAATGCCTTTTTTTTTTTTGGTTTGGAGAACCAGAGGGTATTTTTTCTTTAACTTTAATGCCTAGTTGTTTTATTAGGATATGTTTTAGAGTTGACAGTTTTGAAGCAATTTTCATACATGGTGGACACTTTCAATATGTAGAATCAGTTCTTCTATTTCAGGAAAGCTTACTTATGTTTGCCTATCTATCATAGCTAATATTTTCTCATGGATTCTTTCTACCTCTTTATTTTCTTGCCTCCTTTCATTTCTGTCCACTATCTTCCTTAGTCTACTTTTAGTCATATTTATTTTTTCTTAAGTATATTATAATTTAGTCATTTCAAAGTTAATTTTTTTCTTTTTTTCCAATTTCTTTCCTAACATCATTTCCCATTATAAGTTCCACTTTGCCTATGTTGAGTTTTTAAATTCCTGATCTGTTTTTTTCCCTATCTGCAATTGCTTTTTAAGTGATATTTAATTCATGTTGGAATACTGTGTAACATTTTCTTTTGAATCAGGGCTGGTTTTCTTTATTTCTTCTGTAGTTTTTCATCTACTGAAAAGGTTTTCTTAAATAAGAAAAAAGTGAAATATAACAAATTCAGAAAAGTAAATAGCTGATAACCATGTTTCACTTTTTCCCTACCATCTTAATCCACTGTCAAGAATCTGACTTTGACACAACACTGTAAACTGACCGTACTTCAACAACAAAAAATTTATCATGTGTGTATCTTAATTCACCATCATTAAGATCTATCACGTGATAGGGTTTCTCACAACACCACTTACCATAAATAATGTCATCCTTTTCGCCATCTGATTAGTGAGTAAACCAGTTTCAGAGTCCCATCCTGATGTTCTGATTTCTAGGGCCATTCCTGGTATCTACTCTTAGATACCAGGGGTTCCCTCACAGGGGGTCTGAAACAAGAGCTTACATGCAGGTACTTTATTTGGGAAATGATCCCAGAGAGAGGAGGGAGGGTCTGGGAGAAGCAAAATAGAAGGAAAAGCAGATGCAAAGTTGTATTAGCAAGTTGTTCATCTCTATGAGTGATGGGGCTTACTCTTGCTGGAACCCTATAGAATGCACCTCAGGGTTGTCCATCAGAGGGATGAAAAGGGGAAGTATTTATTTATTCACTGGCTCCTGACTGCTGCTGTTCAAGAGTTTCCCTGCGGAGTTAACTTCCTTGTTTGTGAATAAAAGATGGGGAAGGAGAATGTGAAGTAGGGCCCTAGAAGTGTTTTATACTATTTCTAATGGCTTCCTCTGCTTCAGTTAAGTCAGATCTCGTCTTAGTATTGTTCTTGTCTCTGAATTTAAAAATTTTCTCTTTGTCTTTGGTTTTCAACAGTTTTTCTATGGCATGCTTTAAGTAATTTTCTTTGTTTTTCCAGCTTGGGCATGCAGCATTAATTCATTCTTATAACTGTGCCTTTTCTGTATTCTGGAAAATTCTTAGCCATATATGTTGGAATATTGATTCTTATTCTCTTAGAACTTGGACTTCAATTATGTGTACAGGTCTACCTAGTTTTATGCACTTTGATTTATTGTGCTTTGCAGATTTTTTTTTTTTTTACAAATTGAAGCTTTGTGGCAACCCTATATTAAGTAAGCCCATCAATGCCATTTTTCCAAAAGCATTGTCTCACTTCGTGTCTCTGTATCACATTTTGGTAATTCTCATAGTGTTTCAGGCTTTTTCATTATTATTCTATTTGTTATGGTGATCTGTGATCAATGATCTTTGATGTTACTATTACAAAGAGATGACTCACTGAAAGCTCAAATGATGGTTAGTATTTTTAAGTAATAAAGTGTTTTAAATTAAGGTATGTAAATTTTTTTTAGATAATGCTATCACACACTTAATAGACTACAGTGTACTGTGAACATTAACTTTCATATGCACTGGGAAAAAATTCATGTGACTTGCTTTATTATGATGTTCGATTTACTGTGATGGTCCGGAATCAAACTTGCAATATCTCAGTGTGTATAACTTTCCACACAATCCCTAGTCTGTTAACCACCCTGCCCTTTTTTCTTCAGTATTTTCCATTCTTCCTTCCATGCATTTTAATGAGTATGTTCTTGATTTTTATATTTACAGTTCCCTAAGTCTCTCTTCAGTTGTGTCTGATTTGTGGTTGGATAACCACATAATGTATTCTTAATTTCAGTTATTTTAATTTTCATTTATGAAACTTCCAGTTGGTTCTTTTTCAAATATCCAATTCTATGTCAAAATTCTCAAGATTGTCTTTTAACTCGACCAACATATTAAACATTTTTTTGATTATAGGTGATAATTCTATTTTCTGAATTACTTACAGGTGTTTCATCTGCCTGTTGTCTTAGTCTTTCAGTCATGTGGTTTTGTCTCCTTATGTGCATCGTTAATTTTATATGTGTACCAAACAGTGTACATAAAAAACACAGGAATAATTTGAGCCTGGGGGATTTACTGGGGCTCCTAGTCTTCAGTGGACCCTAAATTACAGTTTCTGTTCTTCAAAGCCCTATGAATCTGTCAGAAGATCTGTTCAGCTTCTGAGTCTTTTACCCATGCTTTCAGATTGGCAGCTGCATCTAGGAAAAATCGGCCTTCAGGACTGACGCATCTTCCGGCTTTCCTGTTTTCAGATCTTGTTCCTGTAATTTCTCACAGCTGAGATAAAATTAGTTTTCCAAGTTGTTCTTAACAGGAAGGGTGGTCCAAACCATCAAATTCACCATTACTGGGGTAGAACTCCATCCTGCTGAAAAGTTTTCTCATTTTGTTTTCTTACAGAATATGGATCCAGGATTCTCTTTTTAAATTAAAAGTTGTTTTAGATTTTCCTGGACGAGCCAGGGCAGGAAGTCACACGGGTGGGGCGGGGGTTTGGGTGGCTTATAAGGTTTGTTAGCTCAAGAGTGTCCTCCGTTGCTGCTACAGTGAAGTGTAGTTTCTTTAATGAATAACTGTGTGTTGATATTGACACCATTTAACGATAGTACCTGGTTTCTCTGGGGCCCACAGTTTCAGCTGGTTCCTTCTTTCATTTCATTATTATGCCTCTAAGGGGGACCTCCTCCTTCCAAAATGCCGCTTTCTCTTCCGGAAGAGGTATCTTTCCAAGGCTGCTACCTCTGGTCCTCTGCATTTCCAAGCCTCCTCCTTTCCCTGTCCCAGTAGCCACTACTCTGATCCACCAGGCCTCAGACCGGTCCTTAGTACTTCCTCACTCTGGGACAATCTTAGTTGACATTATCTGTGTCGTGCCGCCACTAGAGTCCTGTCACAGGCTCCTCTCTTGCGCTTAAACCTTGCCTTGCTCCCCGCTCTGGTGTGGGCTTCGGAGCTGATGTCTGTTTCCCCACTTACACGTAAAGTGAAGTTTGCAGAATTTTCTGTCTCCTAGTTATGTTGGAGGAGTGGGTTATTTCTTGTCCTGTTAGAACTCAGCATAATAATAAGAACAGATATTTTTAACTTTTAGATAAAATTATTTTTTAGATAGCCTTTTATCACTGATTTCTAATTTCATTGCATTGTGCTCACAGAAACAAACCCATAAGATTTTGATTCTTTGGAAACTGAGACTTCCTTTGTAGTTGAGAACATGGTTAATTTTTCGCTGAATGTTCTTCATGCAATTCTGTATTCATTTCAGTTTAGTAATCATCTTAAGCAAATCTTCTAGACTTTCTCTTGTTTTTTGATCTGTGACTCTCTAAGAATTACGTTCTATCTTTTGTTGTCCCTTGTTTTCCACCTTGGATTCTATGTAGTCTGATATTAAAATTACCACCCTCCCTTAACACTTACATATTCAATACATTATTTTACTACTATTTTATAGCGTGTCTTTCCTCTCTTGGTTAGAAAAGTCTTCCTAACCTCTAGGTTGTATGCAGTCTTTTAAGTTTTCTTCCAAAATTTCTCTTATTTTTCCCTGTTGTTAAAGACATGTGTAACTATGACAAAACACACTTACACCAAATACAGCTTGATTTTAATGACATATTTCCTTAACATTTCTTACACACTCATAATGCTTCAGCTCCTTACCAGTGGTTCCTGCGAGCTCTGAGTTTCAGCCTCTGTTAGTTACTTCACTGTAAAAAGGTACAAGAAGCACCAGACACAGAAATCATCTTGCTGTTTCCTTAGTTTCCTGATGGCTAAGAGTGCCCCGTCATGTTACATTAAGAAAAGCCTTGACGCAAAGGAACATTTTGGGGAAGGCCACTGGAAATGTCAAAGATGCTGCTCTCTAGAGAAGTGGCCATAGCACCAAGAAAAGAGGAGGGAAAAATGTGTGCTCTGACTAACTGAAAATGAGGAAGGGACAGACAGGTGGGAGGAGATGCTGCCGCTGAACACAGGTGTGAGGAGAACAGATGACAGAAACATAAAGATCAAGATGTAAATCTGATTTAAAAAGAAATCATGATGATGTTCAATGAAGGGAGATGTGATGCTGGGGCGGGGATGAGAAAGGTGAACTCAATAAAGAGTGAGAAAGGGCAAAAAGCAGAGGAACAGCCCAAAGGCACCTACCAAAGAAAAGAGGGCATGTTCTGAGTCTGAGGGAACCAGATCTGACTTCAGAAAAACTGAAGGAGAAATGCGGCTGAAATGTAATAGTCAATGTTATACAGAAAAGGAAAGGGCAAGAACAAAAGGTGCGACGACACCAGGAACACGGGCCCAATTTTGCAGGAGGTCAGACTGCAAGGTGCAGTCCACTGGTGCTGCTTTGAAATGGAAGTGAGTGTTCTATCTTGCAAGATAAAAGAGGTTGGGATGAGGAGATGTTTTCTAATTCTATATTTCCAGTTTCTAAAACACTTGTTTCTATAGCTTTGATTTTTTTTAGCTTTCTGGCTGACCTGGGGGTTGTTTTTGTTCTGAACAAAGGGGATGTAAAGCTGCGTTTGCTCCCATTCATGGATCTAATTAGGCAGGTTGCCCAATCTGTAATAAATCATGGGTTTGGTTTTCCTTTGTTAAGGTAGTCACAGGCCTTCAGGCATGAGTGACTTATTAAAATGTCCTCTCATAGTTGGGGATGAATGACCATCCTGGTATTGTCAATCACGCAGTAATTTTATATCCCCAAAGCTCTCCCTTGGTTGTTCTGTGCTACCCAAAGACGGTATTTTATTCTCATATTTGCTCACAGACATGATGCACATTTTGCTGTCTAGAGCATAAGGAAATCATTCTAAATTCAGCAATAGTGCCAGTTTGACTAAAAAAAAACCTTATTTTCCATATCCACAAAAATGTTAATCAGATTCTTGTTAGAACATGTGTAAGAAGTGGTTTTCATTGTCACAGCTCTTGATGTCAGATTACTAAAATAATTTATGTTTTGTTGTGGGAACGTGGGTGCACACAGAACCTCCCCAATCACAAGACCACTTCTCAGCCCATACTTCTTTATAATACGTAGAAATTATTTGTGTTTTGTGGTAACAAGTGAATGGCAGGAACAGCAGAATTTCAATGTGGCTGTTCTTTATTTGATTAAATATATTCTCTATTTATTCTTAAAAAAACTAATTTAAGTTAAATGGCAATAAACCGTGATAATTTAGAAAACATGTTGAAACTGAGAGTGAAGAGAAATGTTCTCTACGTAAACCACACTGTAAACCATAAAGCTTATTTTTGTCAACTGCTTCTCATGACAGTGGCTAGGAATTTGACATTTCTACTACAGTAGGCAAAAACATGTAAAATACACTCTCCCGCACACCACATCACGTCTCTATTTATACTCCCAAACTAAAAGCATTACAACCCCAAAAATGCTGAGTGTACTGTGTTCGTTTACACCAAGAGCTGTAAGTTGACACAGGCTTTACCTTAAGCTGGTGTATCTGGGTGGCAGGGCCACTGTTGGCACCCGCTACCCTCAAGCCATACTTAATGGCTCAGGCTTGGGTCACCAAGAGGAAACCACTGCTCTGTATCCTGAAAGGTACTGACCTTTTCAATGAACTCTGGTCAACACAAGACAGAACCAAAAAACCTATTCTCAGACAGATTATGAAACCCATTTGAAGCATCCAATACCACTTACCCACTTCAGAATGTGTCAAGCAGCTATTCAACTTCTTATGAGGAGTTTTGTGAAAATTCATGTAGTTTGAAGCTCAGTATTTTAAAACTAGAAGAGGAATATTTAATAATCTGTTATGATACACATGAAAGTCACAGAAAGATGGCTAATTCTCCAATGTAATCTGAGGTATACATTCCACACAGTTGACTAAATCTCAGAAGTTTTCTAATAAAAACTTCCCCTTTCCACTTGAAGATCATAAGAAGTCAGCACAATCCGGTCTTCCCTGCAGAAAGGGTCTTTAGTTTGGGATGTAACGTTTTAAAACAATAATACAAACCTCCTGGGAGAATACCACAATAAATGTCTCAAAAACCACTCAGTTAATCCCAGGGTATATTCCGGCTGTTTTAAATTAGTGCAGGGAATATTATGGGCCTTAATGACACTGTAACTGCTTAAAGCCAAAGAAAGCTAGAAAGAGGGGCCAAAAAGATGAGCTCAGAGCCAGCTGAAGTGACAACAAACATGTGGCTGTTTACTAGGGTTGGAGAGGTTTAGTCCACAGATGTTTGTGGTCTCTAGAAGGTTCCAGAGGAATGAGTTGTTATGAAGATTCTCAGAGTTTGATGAGAGCAAGATTCTTCTTGGAGATGGCCGGCCCCAGACAGGGAGGCCCAATGGTAGAGACAGAATTTATAGATTTCTGTAGTCAGATCATACTCTACTGGTCCCACAATGTACATCAACAAATTAATATTGTACGGATGTCATTTCAAAGCCTCCTAAAGACGAGAGTCATTATTGAAGCCATTAGAGCACAGATGGTTCAAACTATATGCAGATATTCATACTTGCATTTTTGCATTATGGCTGCTTTTTTTTTTCTGTTGAACTGTAATGAATTGTCTCATAATCTATTCCATCTTCTTGCCATTAGCAGGCTTTGAATGTTCACAAATAGGAGCAAAGAACTCATTTTCCAGAGCTTTAATCACACAAAGAGGGAATGCCTAATTCTCTAAATGAAATGGTCTGTGATCACTGAAGCAGAGATTTAATATATCACGGCAAATTAGGTAGATTTTAATAAATTACTTATCTCCCTGAATACTTTACATATGCTTAAGAAGGAACATAGCCTGTTTGCAAACAGTGAAAACCCACAGCCTATAAAAATCCTTTGAAGAAAATGACAAATAAAAAAGTAAATTAAAAAATGAAATGCATTATATCCCAGACCTCTAGAGACAATTCCTTTGCAGCATTGATTCACAGCTCCATTAAAAATATCAATTAAATCCTTCAGTGAGATTGAGTAAAAGCTAGAAAATTAACTTTCTGAGCTGCTTTTCGAGGATCTGGTTATCCAGATACATCCTAGCATTGTACCAGCTTGATGCAAATTTTAAAAAAAGATAAAAAGATACTCCTTTCAGGTTTAACTAAGTATATCAGAATTTGAGCCACATTTTTAGTATTTTCTTCCTATGTCATAAGCTAAGTTTTCGAAGTGTGAATTTCATATACATCTATGTATCTATCTCTGTACCTACACACAGCCCTGGGTCCTATATTACCATCACAAACACATGAAAATCATACAAATAAGAACTGTAATGTTTAAGACAGAATAACAAAAAAACTTGCAGTAATTTAATAAGTTGGTGCCAAGTCTCATTCTTTATATTTAATTGATAGAAATGGCATGCATCAAAGAAAGTGCATACTGAGCTTTAATGTGCATAAAATGGATATTAGCATTTTAAAGAGGAAGATTAACACATTAATCCAAGTAATTTTCATATATTGCTTCTAATAAAATCTTCACAGTATAAAACTCTTAATGAGGCTAATCATAGGCATTCCATTTAGTGGGACAATTAGGGATAACATAAAAGTATTTCTTTTTCATAGGTTTTCTAAGATTAATGCTTTTTGCTTATTAAAAATAAAAATGGGAATTGCATTTCAGTTCTTCATAAGAAAATGCTGAAAATGCAAATAGACTTTCTCATGCTATCGTGCAGATATAAATTATTGAGAAGGTGTGGCCCAATGTGGAGAACTTAAGTCCTGAGGGGTGGCAGTCATGGGAAGGAGGGAATAGAAAAATAAACAAATGAAAAAGTATACAAAACTTGAACACTTTAAACCCAGGCCTCTTCCCTTCCCCCAGCCTCCCATGAATTATAGATTATATACACCAGAGTAATTACAGAGATCTCATCTAAGCGCTTTCATGTATGTAAGCATTTACTCAGGAGTAGGAGATGCCTCTGGAGCGGTTTCTTTCAAGCCTCCAAGTCATCTCTGTATTGCTCGTAGACAGACCGTAGGGCATGGAGTGCTTCCACTGTTACCCTGAGCTTGCCAATACCTCCACCATCTGCTCGTGTGTCAAAAACTAGGGAGAAAATAGCGGAAAAGTGTTAATATCACTCAACAGATTTTTCTTCAGATAGGCTAGCTGACACAGTAGTTGAAAAGATGAAAACAGCTCTCTAAAAGTCCAAAATTTACTGGCAGCTTAGACATACAAAAATTAAAGCTTGTCATGTGTGTATGAAGATATGCATTTTAGATGTATTGCATGTATACATACACATTGCTTGTGGAGTTAAACTAAAGATTTAATTCTGACGTTTACCTAGTGGAAAGGCTATAGGATAATGATTCCCAAACAGAATCAGAATTTCTTAGTAAGAAGCAAAAGATCTAAAAAGGATCAGTATCTGACAACGAAGAAATTGTTCTAACATAGTGTTCATAACAAATATCACAATGGCAACCAACTGTAAAGAAGTTACATAATCATAACTTGCAATGTTATTTATCTTTCTAAGGAAAGCATTCCATTTAAAATAGATTATGTGTGAGATTAGAAATACTTAAAATGGCAGAGCCTGAATCTTAAGGTCTATGGACTGGATTTGAGGGTCGATGAACTGATGCCGTAGGAAAGCACATATAAAATTCTGAGTGTCTGTGCATTTTTCTGGGAAAGGGACACAGCTTTCAGTGATAATTCTCTGAGCTCAGTGGTGGGGGGCAAAGGGGATGCTGATTCAGTACCTGTGACCCCATCGCTCTGTAGACGGCGATACTAGTAACTCAAGGCCAGAATTTTGGACTTTGTAAGTTTGACGGCACTTACATAGTTTCCTGTTTACTTTCCTTGTGGTTTTACTTGAACTTTCACTATGCGTGTGTGTTTAATTCCAAGGAAATCTGTAAAGAAATCTTCAAATGAAACTTGGTATACAAAGACTTAAGGTGGAGAAAAGAGCAGGCAAGGAGGTTGCTGGGGCACAAGGGGTCCCCAGCTCACGCCCGAGTCTTCCCCTCTTCTTTGGGACTTCTCACTTCCATGCCTGGCATGGAGCAAAGCATTAAAAACCTGCCCTGATCAGTGTTTAATTTTCTGACTCTTTCCCAGCTCAAGGCCACAAGAGCTGTTTATATCAGATCAGTATGATCATATGTGGTCTTGCAGAATGAGGAGATGGGTTGGTTGTGAAACAGAACGGATTGGAGAAAAGATTAACAATGAAAAGCACAGATAATTTTGGTCATTTTTGTCAGGCTTTCTTGGTTCCGGGTGTCTTTAATGCGATTTAGGTTGGTATTTTAATCCTTTTATCTTTTTCTTCTGTGCCTGCTAAACAAAGTTGTGATTCGTATAGTTTATAACATTTCCCAGAATAGGTTTCTAATTTGGTTACCTGGGCTGACTTGGTTAATCATTTGGCTTGATCCTGACTTTCGAGCACCTGACACATACCCAGGACAAGCAGCTTGACATACGAACCCCAGCTGAACTGTGGTGTAAGCAGAGTGCCTGGCACTTAAGAGGTGCTCAATTAAGTGCTCGTTTAATGCATGAATAAATGAGTGAACAGACTCTGTACATGTTCCCAGTGGTGGCCCTGCTACCTTAACAGATGAGACAAGGATTCAGCCTCATTCCTCCATTTACTATGTATAGCCCAGGCCGTGCCTGATTATGATTAAAAAAAAAGTCTTGATTTCATAAAGCATGATTCCTTCAGCATGTTCTAAATTTGTGACACAAGGATAAAGGGTAGAAATAAGGCCTCGTGGGGGCTCCACCTGGTGAGCTGAAAATCTAGGAGAGCATCTCTTGTCAAGAATTCCTAACTCCTGCCTGAATCCTGATGGGAAACAAGTGATCAAAACGACTCAGGGTTTGCAGTGACTGTATCACTGGACTGCAACACTGAATCAGAGAGAAACCTTGCAAAAGACATGACAATGATCACCTAGAGTAACATGCCTTAGCTGAAATAAGGCTTGACCGCATGAGCCTTCCATAACATTAAAAAAATCCAATAGACAAAAATCCAATTTTTATCACACCATCTCCCAATACTAACAAAATGGAAATTTTTTTGTGAAATGCGAGTAATTATTTTTAAATTTCTGTTGATTCAAAGGAAGGCAGAAGGAGAGGGTAAGGACAGTGGGGGAATGCAGGGAGGGGATTCCAGCTTCAACAAAAGAGTCAGCTTGAGCTGCAAAGGATCCCACTAATGTGTGACTCAACGTCTTTGCAGCCAGCCAAAAGAAGGTTTTAATAAAGAACTTGGATTTCAGCAGTTGCTGGTTGTACGGACTGAGCAATACTTCCACTCGTACCGTCAATATTTTGCTCGATGATGTCTCTCCCTTCCTGAAACATGTCAGCGAGGTCAACGTCAGCGATGCCGATGTCCTCGCACTCCAGATCCTGCTCATCCTCCGGAGGGTCACTGACCACAGTGAAGCGAACACTGAGGAGGGAGGGACAGAGAACATCACTGCAAAGGAAGAAAAAAATCACCGCGAAACAAAACTCCCATCATGGGCTTTTATCACTAACTGTGAAATCTCAAAGTTTCCAATTATTCCAATAGAAATAAAATTATATTAGGTGAGATAAGTTATTACATGAACTGTTAGAATTATTATAGTGCACCCAGCCTTTACATGAACACTAATCCACTTTTCTAAGCCCTGATGAGCATTTATCTCTAGAATCTGAGAAAATTACTAGGCGAAGAGAAGAACCAGATGTCCACTCTATTATACACTATCTGATCATATTTTGACACGTCTACTTTTAAGGCTAAAAGGATCAAGTGAATAAAGACCCTGGAGGTTAGGGCAGTATTTCAAATAGAAATGCAAGCTTTTCTATAGAAATGAACAACTTTGGAATTGCTACTAAGCAATTCAAACAACTGTGTTCTATATATTCTGAATTATGTCAGATAAATGTTGTACCTCTGCCCAACAGCTATATGAAATGTTTGTATTATTTCCGCAATATTTTAACCTACAATCATAACATCCAAGTTTTATTTTACTTTTAGACATATAATTACAGGGTTCTGATGGAACTGATTTGAATTAGTGGCTTGTGCTGAGGCCAAACACACTTGGACTGACCAAATGACAGGAATTTACAGTTAAGAACTCTTTTGATATGTCTTGGCAGCACAGCTTAAACCATGAATGCTTGTAAACTACCATTTTAACCATTTTCAAAATGTATCCATTCCAAATCAGAAACAAAACAAGAAATCTTGTTTTTTTAGATAACATTCTTAGATAAAAATCTAAGTCTCTGAGACATCATGCCTTGAACAATATGCAAAAAAACATTCTTTCCAAATGCTTACAGGTAGACATGACAATATTTTTAAACAATTTGTTAAAAATAAGTATTCAACATTTCATTCCTTTACTAAGTCCTGTTTTTAGCTAGCAATACATTTTGATTAGAAAACAGAAATCCTTTAAGTTGAAACCAAAGGTAATATCTATTCACACAATAATTACATAATTGTGAAGAGTGCAGATCCTGGTCTGCAAGTGGATAAGATTGTTATTTTATACGATGCATAAAACAGAGGGATTAAGATGGAGTGGTTAAGGGCATCCATTCTGGGTTCAAATTTCTGCTTTCCGACTTATTAGCTGTGTAATCTTGTACAAGTTCCTTAACCTCTCTGATCTCAGTTTCCTTATATGTAGACTAAGAATAATTATACCTATCTCGTAGGGCTCTTGTGAGGATCAGATGAGATGATACATGTAAACAGTGCCTGGAACATAGTAAGCACTGAGTAAATGTTTGCTCTTTTATTATTACTGTTTTTAATCTAGATAGAGCTCCTTAAGCTTCTACATTTCTAAGGGGAGAGAAAAAGAAGGCATGGGAAAGGCTTGCTTCGATTGAAAACTGAGACACTCAAATTATACAAGGACTATATCACTCAAATAAGAACGATGATGAAAGAAGTTGTCTTAAAATGAATATGTTTAGATGAGCAGGAATTAGAAGTGATATTTGATGCACATTTTATACCCACAAGACTTACAGAAAAGACAGAAGGTTTCAGATTGTAATGTTAAGTGTTATCCTTATATAATGTCTCATATCTAAGGATCATATTTATATCACTTTATGCAGACTATTGCCTGCACTGAATATATGGGAACTAAGACAAAAAGGAAAAAAAAAAGCCCTTCTAAGTGCCAGAGAAAGCGCTAAAAACAAAAAATGCAATATTCTGGCTTTAAATTCTATAAAGAGCAAAATGAGATGTCAAATATAAAATTAAGAAATTAAAGTTAAGCAGAAAAGGGAGGAAGACATATTAAAATAATTTAAAAACTATAGCTTGGCTTAAGCTAAACTGTATGTACACATACATGGAAACACAGACACATCTTACCTTATCTTGAACAAAGAGGTGAAACCTTGCTTTATGTGCTGAAGAGGCTGACAGTCTAGTCTGAGGACCTGGATATACACACAGGTGGATGCCAAGGACCCAAGGGAGTTCCAAACAGGAAGTCCCACATGGGCTGCTCCTGCCTCCTCTTCCCTTCTCTCCCTCCTGCAACTGTCCCTTGCCAGGTCCTAAAAACACACCTCTATCTTCCCTCATGTCTGGAATTCCCTCTGCCTGGAACCATCTTCTTTGGGCTGCTCACGACTTGACTGGGTCCCCTCATACTTCACTAACCAGCTTAAATGTCACCTCCTTGGGTTTTCCTGCACTGTTCTTTTCTATTTTAGCAGCTTGTTCAGCTTTTTCTTAGTACTTATGGTAACATGGAATTGGTTTCTTGGTTTACTTGTTGACCATCCTGCTCAGTGGGATGTAAACTCCACAAGAGCAGAGACTTCCCCTTGCTCACCATTTTAGCTCCTGATACTTACATAGGGATCATAAATATCTGTTGGATTACTATGTGAACTGCAGCATTGAAGTCCTAATTGAAGGCTGACTCATTTGGGGAAGGTTTACTGCCGAAGGCAGGCCTTGGGCTGGGTCTCAAGATTTAGACCTCAAACGTCACTTGCTGTAGTTTAGGAAATCACAAGGCACTGAAACTCCTTAGCTCATTTAACATTTTTGACTCTTGCCTCATTCTGAAACACTTCATTTTTATATGAAACAGGATAGAAGAATCTAAGGGTCACCTGTGGGTCTTATGTGTTGGAATGCTGATGGTTCTCTTGGATCTGCACAACAGAACACGGTTAAAGAAAAGAAACAAAAAAGGAACCTTAAGTCGGTGTCAAAACTGACGTCCAATAAATACTTTTCAAATTCCCATTTCAGTGTGTTGCCTCCCCTTTAAGGAGACGCTTGTATATTTGCAAATCCAGCCTGGGTCAGAATGCAAAGGTACTATATGTAATTCATGATATAATGTACATAATTTTATGCAAGTCAGGGAAGATTTCTCAAACTTCTCTAACTGTGGCTCTATAAGTTATCACCAATATTCAACAGGGCTGCTGTCTGAGAAAATGAATTCTTATAAACTAGCAGGTACTTTAAGTAATGTGACCTCAGAGTATTTTAAAAAGGTAAGAACATTCACTGGAGTAACAACTGCCTTTTGGCGGTGGAAAAATGTAAATGTAAACTCTCTCTCTTTTTTTTTCCTTAAGAAAGAGATACTTTTGAGGGAGAGAAGTGGGACAGGGCATTCTCTCCCGTGACAGTCCCGTCCCTTCCGCGGCGGTCAGAGGAGCGCGCAGCCAGCACTCCAAGCCCTCCCTCAGCTGCCATCATCCCCATGTCAGTCACTCTGCACCTGCACTACCTCTCTCAGTTTTTCTCCTAAATGACATGAACATCTGTGTCTCTGTGGAGCGTTGAGAGATTTTTTCAGGGAAACAACGATGGGAGAGTGGCAGTCATGACAGTTATTGTGGACTTTTTTATTTTTTATTTTTTATTTTTAAGACTCAGTCCTGGCCAGTGATGACCCAGCTTGTTAACCGCAGAGAGCAGACGACACGGCCAGTGCTGTTTAAACTAGTGACCCGGGATACCCCTTGAAAGAAATTGAAGTAAACAAAGTAAGCAAGTAAAACTTGAGTGATTATCTACTGTCCTGGGAAAAACAGAACCTGAGAGTAATTAACAGGGTTTTCTCATTCTTTCGTCAGAATTAAGATCCAAAGAAATAACACATGTATTTCAAGGAACCAATGAAAAAGCTACAATCAGATCCTAAGAGCTAAGAATTCCAGTCTCCTTTCATGAAACAGAAGATTAGTTGCTAACTGGAAGCTCTTTTGAAAAATATCATGTCTTTTTCATTCACTTCATGATCTCTAGGAAAGAGAAACATTTGAGTCTTTCTCAGGTGGTGAGGTAAGCTCCCTTTTTGAGGCAGTAAGACGTTGTTATCCATGGGCCATAAAGGCAAGGAGAAGAGGACAACGGAGAGATAAAGGGTCCACCCAGGCCAAGGGGGACGAGCCAGCAAAGGGGCGCTGGCAAAGCCCAGCTCAGGGGTTAACAGGCAGCACTTAGATAACGCTTCCGCCTGCACAAATGGGAGCTCACTCAAAAGCACAAACTTACTAAGATCAGGTTTTCTTCCTTCTCAAAAGGGCACAATTTCTCTACTGACCCAAATTGCAAAATGTCCTCTTCAAATTTGCCCCAAAAAGCATAAAAAATAAATAACAGGAAATGATGAATTATTAAACAGTGACAGTAAGGTAAAAATTAGTCTGAAAGGCTGATGAGCTATTACAAATATTAATATTACTACTACTTACAATGACTGCAATGAGTACTCACTGTGCACTTACTATGTGTCAGATGCTATTCTATCCATCTTACATGTATCATATCATTTAATGCTCACAACAACCCCATATGGTATTATTATCTCCACTTTACAGATGCAGAAAGTGAGGCACAGGGTGGCTGGCTGAAGTCAGACAGCTAGTAAGCGATGAAATGAGAATTTGTACTCCAGCCATTGAGTCCAGAGTACACCTTCCTTGCAACCACTGTTATGCGCTTTACAGTTAGAATTGAACGGCAATGGGATACTCCATATACTACAATATACAGTCTTTTGGTTTGCAAAGCACTATAGGATCTTTACAGTTACTCTATATGAGAGGCAGGGCTACTATAATTCTAGGAGGAAAGAGACCCAGAGAGATCACATACTCATGCAAGAACATAGAGTGAACAAGTCAGGTGTTCCGCTTCCTCATCTCGTGCCTTTTTTCACCACGCCATGCTACCGAGATTGGCTTTATATAAACCACCAGGTAATTCAGAACACTTAAATGTACCTTCTATTGGGCATCTCTTGTTTTAGTAGTATCGCTTTTAAGATGTCTCTCTTTGCTTGGTTGTTTTCTTTATCCATGTAGATCACTAAACCAAAAAAAAGAAAAAAAAATCCACAAAAAGAAGCCATTCAGGAATAGGCTACATTTAGTACTATTCTGTATTTGTATAAATACCTATTTTTAGAGACGCAAGTCATGCCACCTCACTTGTACGCCTGGGAAAAGAGCGCAGCGCTGGAAACCAGAATCAAATCTGAATAGTCATGTGATCTAATGTCATGTCACTGGCAGGTTTATGTGCACACTGTCAGAAAAGATACAAGCAACATCTAAGAGTGCCACATCGCTGTCACTGCCTGTTAATGGCAGTGGCAGTCATGACAGTAAAAGCCAGCGGTCTTTATTGCTTTGTATTTGAGGGATTTACTGCATTTTCTCTCACCCAAGAAGCAAGTGATAATGATAATGTATGGCAGAGAGCTTGTCCTTCCTGACAGCCCCAGTAATTTAATCCTTCTCTCCTGCCACAACATGCAATAAAAGAGGCATCCTAGTGCACTGGGCTGAGGAAATCCACAGGCTGACGTTTGCTGGTGTTTGGGTGGTGGGTATGGCAGAGAAATGTGGAGGAAGGGAGAGAGAGGCTTTTCAGGGTGTGAAGTCTGTCTTTGGTTTTCAAAGGTACACGTTGGCAAGCAGGAATGTGGCTAGACTTTACTTAGCTGAAATACAAGATTAGATAACTGATCTAAAGTCCCACCAGGAAGGTGGTGAACACCTGAAACTGTAAATAAGTGTCTGCACTTTGGGAAAATGGCATCTCAGAGTGCAAACACTCCAATTTTCATTCTGGTTATTTTTTCTCAGCTCGGCAGCCTTTCAGCCATGCCTTAGCTTCTGAAGACACTTCTTTTTCAGATGTCATTTTGGAGTTGAAGCCTCTCCGTTGACCAGATCTCAATTTAGAGATTATCCCTGGTTAAAAAAGTATACAAAGGGTGAAAGATACCATGACAATTCTAAAGCCAGACTCCTCTGGGAACAAACATATTTTCTACTGAGAATGCTTCCCTGGAAAATGAGTTCAATCTCAAATTACGATGCTATGAACACATTTAATTGTTGGCTCAGTTGAGCAAATATTAACTGAAGGCCAAAAAGGCACATGCCAGGCACCAAATTAGGCATACATGGTAAGAGGCACAAAGCTCTGTAGAAGTGGGCTTGTGGTTTAAAAAAAGGAAGAACCAAGGTCAAACAGCAACTCTAAGCTTACTGCTCCTTGGACAATACCATATTAGCAAATGTGACCAATTATATAGATTACTGAGATTTATAGGAATCAAAAAAGACAGAGTTCTTGTAAATTTTGTAAAAATAGTGTTTTACTTATCAGTGCTAAAAAGTCATGCTTTTCCACCAATGCTGAGAGATGGGACCTCATTTTGGCTACCAGTATACCAAGCTAAATTTGAAAAATTTTTCCCAAGTGGGAATTTTTGTTTTTGCTGTTAATCACTGATTAAAGATACTATAGATCATACCCTTTTTGACTTTGGAGTTCTACAGCTTTTAAGTCATAGAGGTCTTTGCGATCATTTTTTGATAATTCTTCCCAGTTTTATTGAGATATAACTGACATATAACATTGCGTAAGTATTAGGTGTACAACATAGTGATTTGATGTATGTATGTACTGCAAAATGTTTATCACAGCAAGTTAACATCACCTCACATGGTTTTAATTTTTTCTTTATTCTCTTAGCAGCTTTCAAATATACAATACAGTGTTAACACTGCTTGAAAACAAGGGCAAACTCAGTGATTTAAAAAAAAAAGACAATTCAAAGTCTAACATCCAGATAGTCTTTCAATTAAATGAGACCAGTTCTGATGAATCTCAATAGCTTGGACATTTTTTCTTAATGTGGTAAAATATACTTAACATAAAATTTACCATTTTAATAATTTTTAAACATAAAGTTCAGCGGCATTAAGTACATTCACACAGTTTTGCAACCATCTCCACTATCCATCTCCAGAACTGTATCATTATCTCTAACTGAAAGTGTAGCTTGAGATTAACAAATCTACATTACTATATATAAAGTAGATAAATAGCAAAGACCTACTGTATAGCAGAGGGAACTTTTTAAATATCTTATAATAAATCATAATGGAAAAGTATATGAAAAAGAATATATATATATACAACTGAATCACTTTGCTGTACACCAGAAACTAACACAACACTGTAAATCAACTATACTTCAATAAAAAACAACAACAAATAAATAAAATGAAGCTAAATTTGAAAAAAAAATCCTTATCAAAAAAACTCAAGCTACTTACCAATGAGTTTGGTTCTCCAAAAGTGTACCAAGTTAGAACTACAGCTCTCCTGCTTGCACAAACAAGGCCTAGAGTGGGCATCTCAATGTAGCCTAATGATTGCTGGTCTTTAATGTGCATCAGAATCCCTGGAGGGCTTGTTAAAATGCAGATTACCGAGCTCACCTTCAATTTCTAATTCAGTAGGTCTGAGGTAGGGCCTGAGAATTTGCATTTCTAACATCTTCCCAGCTGCTGATCTGTTGGTCAGGATACCACTGAGAACATGTTTAGTCCAACATTCCTTTGCCTGATTTTTGAATAAGATCAGGAACTAGTGAACATTTTTGTGTTAACCATGTGGGAAATAGGGCCACTCTGGCCACCTATAATGAGGTCATGATCTTAAGGACATCCACTTGGTGTTCTGAAATCAGATGGTTAAAAATAAATCTACACTTTCAAAACTTCAAATATACCCTTTAAAAAGTAATTCTGGTGATTATGAAAAGTATCAGAACTCTCCAGAAGTCAACCTATTTAGCTTTAATTCTTGTTGGAAATCACATTTGTTTAGGACTTGCCAGATTTTGACATAATATACTGAAAGTTTATGTCTCAAAAAAGATATAGACCAGAGTCCAAATACTTGAATTGATCTCGAATTGCCTACCATTAAAAACATATCCCTCACTTCTGCAGGCTGGAGAAATCCTTATATTCTTTATCAATGTCATTTGGCAGAAGTGAGAAATGCAGATGGTTTAATTATATAAAGGGTTGATAGCCCTGAATCTCAGATAACTGTTGTGTTAAAGTGTTATTATCCCCCCAGTCCTTACGTTTGCCACGTTTTCCCTCCCATTAGTAACAAAATCTAAAGCTCTGCATCCTTTTCATCTCCTGAATTAAACTTTGATCCGAAAGATAGGCTCTTTAATGCTCAGAGTTAGTAAAGGCTTAGATCTGTATAGGTTTCATAAAAACTTTGGGCGATTTCATTAATCTTTTTTCTTCCCACTGTCAATTCCCTAGAAGATTTTATTCAGCTCAAACAACATTCTTTAGACCTACCATTAATCTTATTTTTCCCCCAAACTATTTTCTTGCTTTCTCAGCATTCTCCGAGCAAAATTTTCAAGCCCAATAAAATACAAATGTTTTGTTCTTGCTACCAATGTCTAGAAATAAATTTAACTTTTTTTTTTTTTCGGTGTTAGTTGTCCTCAGAAAGTATATATTTTGTGTAGGTGAAACTGGTATTAACACTTCTTAATAAAGACTGAAATAAGCAATGAAAAATCCTGGGGATCACTAGTCTAAATCTCTCATTTTATGTACCTCATTTAGGCCTCCGCATACAAATCCCTTTTGAATAGGTTCAAGTCATATTCAGGGTAAAAATCATTGTGAGGTTCAGTCAACCTCTCAGCTGGAATGGTGTTCAAATAGGAGACAGCACTAATTGTCCTTTAAATTTTCTGTGTGAACTGAAAAGTCAGTTTGGAAATAAAATTACCTTCATTAACATGTAATAAGATTTGGAAGATGTAAGGCTACACTATATTGACCTTTTATATCAAGTAACAAGTGAATGGTAAATCATTACACTAATTAGATGAGATAGTTACTTATGAACTAAAGATTCAAGGAGATTCCCCTGCAATGAAGGAGATGCAAACATAATAATTTTAAAATAAACATTTTCAATATGTCCTGCTTAAGTGAAAAATACCAGGTTAATATTAATTATTTTTCAAATTTGCTGATGACTTAGGACTTCACTTTTTCAGATGCAGTAGATATAAAACAGCAATATTTTGCTTCTAAGCACAAAGTACATTCCTCTCCCTTCCCACCAGATAACTATCCTTAAAATCCTTTTCAATTAACCTTGAAAATTCTACATAGTTAAGTCTCAATATGCAGAAAAAGAAACTTCAGAAAGATATAGTAAATACTTCCAATGAATTCAATTCTAATAGGTTATTGGTTTTCTTGTTGCTGTCAAATGACTAATTCAATCAGAAACATAAACAACTCTTAAAATACCAATTAAATAGTAGGGTATCTTGCAGTAAAAGGAAAAAATTAAAAATAAAAAACCCAAATCAATGCCAACCAACCAGCAAAAAGCCTCCAAAAGACCTAGGTCATCATGTGAGAATGTACAAAATTCAGGATGCTTCAGCATGTATCACAGGTTTCATCCAACGTATGATGTGCATTGCTCCTTAAGCAAATGGAAACATCTGTTCTGTTGCATGGCCAAGTTCTCAATGTACAACCAATTTCTAAAAGACAACTTTGTTGTCAGTTCAACCAAACATTCTACTGCTGACCTTCACAGCAAATAAAACAAAAGCCAGAAGAGCTTGCCTCTTTTCTTGGGGTATCTTCATTAAAATTAGTTGACTAAATATTGCTTTCATTACTAATAATATTGTAATTATGGCTTACTTTTCTGATACTTTGCAATTAAAAGGTCTCTAGGAAGCTTGAGAAAATAGTTTTGGAAATGTTCTATTAGAACAAATCAGTGAAAGGAAGGTGGAATCAGACTCTTGTCCTGACCACACTACTTATTTCCCATGTGATTTCTCAGTCCACCTGTTATTACAGAATTATAGAATTTGAGCTGGAGGGTTCTTAGTACCTTATTCAATAGATAAAACATGGAATCATGAAATTTAAACACCTTGCCCAAGTTCCCATAACTAGCAAAGAATTGTGGATACAGGGAAGACTAGATCAGCTATCTAGGTACTCATGATTACTGTCTCAAGCAATGAACATATTTCTAAAAATGCCAGTTGCAAAACAAACAAAGTAACCATTAGCATTTGTAATCCTACTGGTACAAAAGAATGATTATACATGTTGATTAAAATGCAACTTATAAAACTGGTGAGAAAAAATATTGGTGTTCAACTAGCATATGGGATGGCCTGTTTTGATAAAGATGATGTAACACTCCATCCTTATGGTTTGTTTTAATATAGGGATTTGGGAGAACTTAATAAGCAGTTTTAACTTAGGGTCATGGCAGCTTGATAGGATTTTTTTTACTCCTCTCTAATTATACACTGATTCATACTATTCTTAAACATGTCTTAAAGTTGGTTGATCTAAGAATTTACAGGGTGCCTATTGGGTTTGTACTGGTCCAGCAGACTTTCATGTCAACTAGTTGATAGGTAATGTTCCCAAAGAGAAAACCTGTCTGCTGCTATGAAGGGATGTGTGGGCTAAAAAATGAAAAGGTATTGTAAGAACTTGTATCACTCGATTAAAATCCTGAACATCTTGACACTGGGAGAGATATACACATATATTGTAAAAAAAAATCTATGTGATGACATTGAGCAGAAACGTAGAAAAAACTAGGCCGTTAAATTGTTCGAATCATGTAATTAAAAAAAAAACTAGTATTTTTATTCCCCTTGAAATATCGTATTATTCAATTAAATTCAATTGCAGACCTAGGTGGCATTTTTCTACTGATAGCAGGAACATCTAGAAACATTGTTTTCTCACTGTTTTTGTTCTCTTTTAATTTTAGCATTACAGTTGTCCCTCAGTATCAGAAGGGGATTGGTTCCAGGACCCCTGTAGATATCAAAATCTGAGGATGCTCAAGTCCCTTATATAAAATGACACAGTATTTGCATATAACCTGTGCACATCCTCCTGTATATTTTAAATCACCTCTGGATTACTTGTAAAAACCTAATACAATGTAAATACTATGTAAATAGATGTAGATAAAATGTAAATGCTATGTAAACAGTTGCTGATGCGTGGCAAATATAAGTTTTGCTTCTTGGAATTTTCTGGAATCTTTACCCCAAGTATTTTCTATTCGCATTTAGTTGAATCCGAACATGTGGAACCTGTGGATAAAGGGGGCCAAATGTGCTTTTTAAATTCTTAATCCTTATGCTGTAGGTTTGAGTTTTACTAATCTATTCTGACAATACTGGCATGATTTACATGAACATTACAGACTTGTATGTTCTCCTTGTTCCTTTGGCTTCCTTCATAGATGAGAAAGACAAAAATAAGTCTATTTAAAACAAATGACTCATACATACCATTGCTATAGTTGTAGTAGACCCACTGCCCACTTTTGGGTTTTGGCAGTGACACAGGTGTCTCTTCAGCAGGAAGACTGTAGAATCTGCACTCAACGAACAGCCGTTGGATAGTGTCATCCGCAGTTACTCGAGAATCATTAAGGCTCAGAGCTATGATCTCAATTCGAATTTTTTCTGATGGCTGTTTAAAGCACAAAAACGAAAAACAATAAAGAAACAAATAAAACGAACAAAAAAATCCTTTACTCTTTTTCACTATCAGTTTTAAATAAAACATGAAGGCATTGGCCTTCATTGATTTCTTTTTTGGAAGGCACTGAATACTACTGTATAGTTACACATGATAGATTATTCTCGACAGACAGAGGGAGAATGAGCTTCTAATGCCCCAGGGTGTGAAGTTAACAGCGTCATGGCAATAGTCTCCTGATTTACATTTGGGGCTATAAATACCGCACTAGCAGTCTATCAGGAGTGAAGATTATGAGATCTTCATCTCCGATTGTTTTCAGAATGACACGTATCAATTGGCCTTGTTTCAAACTATGTAATGAAATACATGTTTTTCACTGCTTTTATTTTATCATAGGTACCTGAGAAAGTTTTGGTTATTCAGAGATCAAAGCCTGTTGAATACTTTATAGCTATTATGCTAATATATGTAGCTATATGAATCCGTATTAACTAGGGCAGAAACTACAGCTCATTCTCTTTATATATTCTGCCATAATATATTTCATTCAGTAAGTAAAAAGTTTTCAGACAAAAGAAACAAAAATTTTATCTAATTTAACACATAGTTTCATCTCATTTTTACAGAATTAACACCTAAAAAATGCATTTGTTTGTGTAATTTTTATCTCAATCCTTTTCTAATAGATTTTGGTGCCACAGACATTATATGAGTCACATATGTTTCCTTGAGTAATAATTTAAAACAAATAATAGACTATGACTTAAACTTAGATCACACCAAATTAACTCCTCAGTCAAATGTCTGCATTTACAATTTTAAGTTTGTTTATTCTCCCTTTCTAAATCCCTCTTTATGAAATTCAGAGGCATGCTACTGTAAATTAATAATTCAAAATAATTAAAAATCCTGATGCTGACCTGTTTATATGAACACCTTAAGGAATTCATTGTTAAAAATAAATCAGTGTGTAAATTCACCATAGTGACTACTACTTAGATATTTCAAAGTACATAATATAATTAATCAAATTGAAAAGCATATGTACCCCATTGTAAAAATATCTCCATAAAGAACGATTTCCATTGCTGTCAAACCCCCTCAATATTTGATGAAGTAATTTTGCCCCCTTCTTTCAAAAGACATTTTCTTTTATTATGTATTCTAAGACACTTTAACTAAAAACCCAAATCTGAATATTTCAATAAGGTTATTTTATTATTCAGTAGATTCATGGAAATTTTACTAGGATGACAGAGAAAATTCCACACCATTCTGTCTCCACTAATACAGGTACAAGGCTGCAGCTGGCAATATTACTAGGATTAGCATAGTATGATGAAATATTTAAAGGAAAATTTTTTCTAAAACCTAATAAATCAAATGACTGCCAAATGTCATTAAAGTGATGGTCTTTGACTTGAATATGCTTTTCATATTCAAATTTGAAAAGAAAGAGATGAAAGCTTGGAAAGGTTACTCGGTTTCAACTAATAACCTCAAGCCCTCTCCGTTCACGTGCATAAAAAATGAAGTTGGCTCTATTGTCTAATCTCACTTCAGAAAAGCCCTTCTCTGCTTGCTGAAGACTAACATGTAAAGAAAATATTTTAAACGATATTATTTTTTCCTTAACATGTACTGTGGTTGTAAAAATGCCACACACACACATATTTTATAATTCTGGTTCAGATGCAGCACAATGCATAATTAAGTCTTTTACATAACTTGCAATTTGACAAACTTAGAATTGTTACGACAATAACATAAAACATTCTTGCTTTTGCACAAAAGAATTAAAAGAAAATAGCTATAAAAAGGCAAAAGAGGAATATATAATTATTTCTACATTGTGAAGAGAGGAGTTTAAAATTTATCACAGAATCCAGTGAAGAGACAAATGAACTTTTAAATAGCAGGGGAATCAAATTTATTTAAGTGATTTTTTAAATTAATAATATATTAACTATACAATCCCCATATGAAAACTTGTATTATTATAAGAACAAAATTAGGCTGTCAAATAAGACTATATACAAAAATATAGTTCTAATTAAATGTAGATACTTAGATCACAAATGAAGAAAATACCAAAACCAAATAAACCAAAAGAAAACCCAGTATATTAACCTAAAAAAAAAAAAAGAGCTTTAAAATTCTTTTAAATGATGTGTGTCTTTTTTCTGTTTTTTTTGGGGGGGTGGGGGGGTGGTTATTCCTTCCCACCAGCCTCATTACTTCTCATATGTCCTTTTTAATTCTCTAACTTAACTGAGTTATTAGTTATCACTTCTTTATTCCTTTAATGCTATATGAAACAATTTAAAATAAATCCCCAAAGGGATAAGTTCCAAATAGTATATATCTAGGGAAGCATGCCCTGAATAAAGAATTTTCCAAATACTGTAAGTTTTGACTAATGGGGCTAACCAACTTATTTTTCAACATTGGAACAATTCTGATTGTGTTCATACCTCTGTGAATCAAAAGTTCAACCAGATTATTTAAGATTTTGAAGATTAAGAAGCACATCAACTACGTAGCAGACAACTCCAACTTAGTGTCAGAAATGAACTCATGATTCCTCCTCTTTCCTCCTCCCACCCCCAATCTCATTCATCCTCTGATATTTGCTATCTCAGGTGATATCACCATCCACCTGGTCACCAACAACCCGGGGACCTTGGAGCTATTCTTGGAGTCTCCATTTCACACCCACCGTGTAGATCACCCATTCCTCTTAATTTTACTTCCTAACTATTTCAATGGTTCACTGAATTATTGAAAGCTTATGATATTTCAACATTGTGTCAACTATTGTACAAGACATGGTTTCTTTTCTCATTTTTATCTCTAGAGAAGCTTCTTTAGGTTCTCATCTGATCTCATCCAAACTAATCCAACAGCCTCCTAGCATTAGAAAGTAGTCTGATAGAATAAGGAGGGAGAAATCAGAAGGAATCATAAAAGATAACTGGTTGGCAGAACTGTGAGCAGACATGGGTGGTATGAGACTGAGTTCAGTGATAGAGGGACTATTATCTTACTTGTATCACTTGTGTGGTATGCAGTATACACTCAAAAAATAAGTGGTTCTATTCTCATGGCTGTAAGGGAGGTGAGGCATTCCTGCCCCTAATCCCTTGCCTGCAGCCTCAACTATTCTTCTGGTGGCAGAATTCTCTCCCTAAAAACAAATCAGTTATCACCTTTCTGCCTGAAAACCTATTAACCTAGTCTAGCCGTTTCCCCAGACTGTTCTGTTTATATAGCTCAGCTTTGCATCTGAAATCTCTACTAGACAAAGTCCACTGATCTGGGCCCTGGGCCATGCATGCTCTCCTTTCATGAGAGCATTACTGATCTCCAAGAGCGAGTTGGTTCCTCCTCTGGGCCCTCACTGCACTTTTCAGTCACATTGTATTGCATGGGTTTGTTTACATACCTGCCTCTGTAGACTGTGAGTTCCTGGAGGCCAGGACCATATATTATTTATCCTCTGCTATTTACCATTCTTTCCAGGGTCTGGCATGTAGGAGGCTCTCAATAAATACTAAATGATACCGAATCAAGGGAGGCTGAATATCTTCTATATATTCAGACTATCTTTTATAAATTGCCAGAAGTACGTGAAGCTGCAATTAGTGTTTTCTCCTTCAACAAACATTTATTGTGTTGACTACGTTTTGGGAAGTTAGTAATTATTAACTGTTGAAAAATACAGAGAAACCTTGCCCATTCTAGATTTTAACTGAATAATACTATTTCAAAGACAGGTCAATATTGTAGAATCTAGGTGGTAAGGTACTGTTATTTCAACTTTTCTGTATGTTTGAAAATTTTCATAAGAGAATAATAAAAAAAAGAGGACACTAATGAACTCATCTACAAAACAGAAACAGACATAGTAAACAATCTTATAGTTATTGGGGGAAAGAGGATGGGAAGGGACAAATTGGGAGTTTGAGATTTGCAAATATAAGCCACCATATACAAAAATAGATAAACCCCCCTGAATTTCTTCTGTATAGCACAGGAAACTATATTCAATACCTTGTGATAACCTTTAATGAAAAAGAATGTGAAAACAAATATATGTATATGCATATGCATGACTGGGACATTGTGCTGTATACCAGAAACTGACACATTGTAACTGACTATGCTTCAATTAAAAAAAAGAGAAAACAATGAAAAAAAAGTTCAATTAGGAGAACTGGAAGGGGTAACAATACACTGATTCAAATGCAAGTGACTGAAGCAAAGCCTTTCAGACACATGCAGAATAATACTTGTTCAGAATTACTAGATCAACATAACCAGTCATATCCCTGTATTAGCGCCCTGTACACACGGTAATTGACCAGCCGGTACCACAGCTTTAGGCTTTCCCTGTTTTGTTTCTTGTCTGTGTGTGTGAACATTTGTTAGGTATGCTGCTAATTCTCAGTACTTTTTTGTCTTGTTCACCAGCTGCCCTAGTTAGGAAGATACTGGCACCAGCATATAAAAAGAGGATTCAGTAGTTTTGACTGTGGTGAACAGCAGTAATAGAAGTCTTTCGAATAAGAACTGTATACAACTTCCTTTTAGCTGTCTGTACAGATGGACACTATACTTCATGTGACTGAATGATCTAGAAATGTGACGACAGCTTGTATTACTCTCAGAGAAAAAAAAAGAATTCTCGTGATTTTGTCTCAATTCCACTACTGCTTCCTGGCTGATGCTATAATTTACATTTTAGGCCATATTTTTTCTATAGTATTTACTTGGGCTTTTATTGGCATGCTTAAATTTTTTATGTTTTATTTCAGAAGATCATGCTGAATTCTTCTCCTGGTTTTAACCATCATAACAGCCACACTGGGGTTGGGCTGTTAGGCTTCTAAAAGCTAATGCAATCTGACAGCCCTTAAACATGATGTTGCTTAACTGAGAATGGCCTCTGATAAAGGTTTGGAACTTGTTTCAGTCAGTTAGATTTA